TTCCTTACAGTGTAAACCAACTGTCCTAGATGCCCACTTTCCCCGTTGTAAGGTCCACGATTGGATTATAGATCACGTTGATGAACATTTCGATCAAATGGATGATTTCATGCAATCACATCTGTTTTTCTGGAACTTTTTGATTTTTCCTTTTTAGCTTCTTCTTTTCACTGAACTCATAATGATCCATTTTGTTTTGGGAAACGGGAAACGGTCAATCAAAGGGCCACCACACAATACACAATGCAGAAAGTCATGCGGTAGTGGTAGTGGGATTCAAACACACACACACGTCCTCCCAGAATGATAATTTGTTATCCTTTACCATGGAGCTACCACCGCCCATTTGTTACTAATTCCTGACATCAAAATCTGCTGTAGTGAATCGTGACTGGGAGCTCCAACGAGAGAACAGCATTATAGATCCCCAAAGTTAAACAATCACATCACTGATACGTTTTGCCATCCTGAAATAGCATGCGAAATCTCCAGTTTATCCTGACAAACGTTTTCTGTATCATGCATCAAATTATGTAAACATTTGAGGTTTCAAATTATTGTTTGGCAGATTGAAGTGTTTATGTCCAGACTGTGAACGTTCAGTAGCCCCGGCGGGATTTGAACCCACACATGGGCACCGCCTACGCGTTTGTACAGCGCACGCTCCCCACCAGCTGATGGCTACGAGGCCACACCGACAGAGCACTGATCTTTTCACTTTCGAATTACCCATCCAACTTACAGAGGCATTTGTGATCCACCATTCAGTATGTAAGCTGACTGCCCCGACAGATTTTGCCTAACGTTCACCGGAGTCTACTGAATGAACATTTAAGGTTAATGAATTGTTCGAAATTGGCAGCAAAATCAGTCTTTTTCCACGGTGAAATGTTATTTTAATCGGTCACTTTAACGTCTTAAATTACAGGTTTTAACTAGATTTCTTTGAGTTCCGGTGAATGCCATAGACATTCAGATCAACAAAAGTATTGTTCAATATAGTTTTACTAATCACAGCACACGTTATGGCATCCATGCGCGGCAAACTAACGCAAAGCTGACGTGAGATTGGACATTTGCAATTGATGACGAATTTTGGGTAAATGTTTAGATAGTCCTCCTAAGTTGTGTTCCACAGTCTTTGCTGCACATTGTGCACAGATATCGTGTGTGTCAAACACCAGTAATCGCTGCTCACGGAGTTTCGTTTCATGCAGGCCATTTGAACAGCCTAGGCTAGATCACACGGGTGGGAAAGTGTGGAACAAGAATAAAAAACGACACTAACAGTGAAACCCGATGACAAGTTAACTCTTTGCCAACGGAAGATGTTATCGGCACGTGAGAGGCGCACTTATCCTGTTTATCAGAACACTCTAGGTCCCATGGTTCTCATTCGCGAATCCGGCGTAAATTTAATGACACTAATGCACGAACACCGGTTTGGCAGAACCTAATGGACACACTGGGGTTCTTTTTGTGCTCATGCCAAATGGTGATGCAATACGCTGACCAAGCGGGTCAGGGTCGAAATCCTTTGAAGCCTGCCGCCAGGAACAAATGGTCTGCTGCTGCTGCTGCAGTTTCTTCTAAGTAGAAACTAACGCTTTTTTGCTAAGATTTCATGACCCAAAATCGAGGTCATTTGTGTTCTGCTCATTTCTTGTTTTACGCAGATATCCGCAGTGCGTTTCATTTTTTCGATACCAATGGAGACGGGATGATCACGACGGAAGAGCTGGCGACCACAATGCAATACTTGGGGATGCAAGCGTCAAACAGTGATTTGTTGAGCATGATCAAACAAGCGGACGAGGATGGTGAGTTCACTTTGGGGTTCAACCCCCACTCCGCCCCAAGGACCGTGCCTGGATTTCCCACTTTTGATAAAAATGTGCAAAACAATGAATATCTTGGTTTCTTTACCTGATGCTGGATAGCCAAACCCCAAAAGTGGGTACTAAAATATTTTTGGATAATTATTGTTTTTTCGTTAGCTATGATTTTAGAAAAAATGAACTTTAACATGTAACAAAATTACAACTTAACAACTGGTCCTTCTGTTCAGAGGAAAAAGCAGTTATTGTCGTTTATTATGCATACCTAACTAGGAATCTGTTTTCGGATGGTTTGTGAAATATTGATGTGATCTCGAGGGATGCATACCTGGTGAGAATCAAGGACCGAGAAACCGGTAGTGTGCTTGTGGTAATTTTTTTCCAGTCGTTTAAATACTACGGGAAACAAAATATCTCGGAGAATCGGACCTGGCATTGAATTGACCGCGGTGAGATATAGCTAACCCACAACACTTAATAGAAAACCAGCGTAATGATTCTTCGAGGCTTGTTGTTCGTCTCGAATCCACCCCCGAGCTGCAAATGCGAAGTGCGTTGCCTAAGATACAGGTACTGACAAACCTCGTGCAACAACTTGACGATCATCAAATTTGTTTGTTTCAACACTTAGTGTTTTGAGCCCTATTCAAGGGATTGAATATGATATGACCCCACATCAGATGCAAGATAGCTGTGGTAATATCTGTAATAAGAACATACACTCCAGGCGCTCGCAGCGCAGCAGATTGAGCAAAGATGCACAAAAGTATGTCCCTCGTCACGTATTCTGATAACAGGAGACGATAGGAGTCTTTTGAGGGCGGTAGGGATGCGGGACACAGGGACATGGCGAGGAAACACTAACAGTCAGGTATTCGTCGGTCGGGGTTGAAGTAATACCCGTAAAACAAAGCAAATAAAACGCCATGAACCTAAAAAAGGTCTAATGATAGATACAAGTGCTCACAATAAAATATTATGCGGGTAGTTGACAAGCGTTACATATCCACTCATATTTTTTCCTCCATTTTTTTTATTAATATATCTGTATATATATATAATGAGAAAATGTAGGCAAAAATATGAATGAATATATGTATATATATATATAAATACATTTCAAGAGAGAATGGAGGTGTACACGGAGTTGTAAAATGCTTATTATAAGGTTGGATCTAAACTAGGGCTCGTCTTCAAACGCAAATGAAATGAATGAGATAATGGGATTACCGTCTTTCCGTGCGCCTATGTGCTGTTTGTACGTCTGTCAGCCCACTAAGCGCCACGGATTTTGCGAGTGTGACGTAATGTTTGTCTATCTCGACGTGTCGGTTGAACGAATTGACCGAGTGCAGAGCTTCGAGGATTAATCGTTCACCCTTCTTCTTATCGATTGAGAGCTCGTGACCTGTCCGTGCGCAGTGTTTCCAGATTTGTGACCTAGAGTCAGCGCGTCGGAGGGCAAGTTTGTGCTCGTGTAGGTAAATGTGAAGTTGTTTGCCAGTCTCACCTATGTAGTGTTGGTTGCAGCCCAGGCACGGGATTGATCATTCTTGCCGTTCGACTCGATCCTTGCCGTTGAAAGGGGATGATCGCACGGTTGCTGCCGGTTTTTGGGCGATCGTGCTTCACAACGGCCGGAGTATTCGTTTGGTGGCTTCTTACATGCCGCGTATGTAGTGTAGTGTTATCCACGTTTCTTCTTTTATATGTGTTGTTTGTTTCTTACCTCTGAGGCACGCTTTGATATATATGATATTATAAGTATATACCTTAAAACAATAAAAATCAGCTCAGTGATGTGAACAATAAAAATTAATCCCACTCTGAATTGTTAGTTGAAGCATTCCAATTGTGTTCTCCAAAGATTTTCTCGGTGTTGCTAAGGTTAGCGTAGATGAGAATGAAAAAAACACTGTATGCAGTTGTTGGGTCTCCTCAGCCCATGCGAATCGGACGAATCTGTTGAGAATGGACTGCGGTGGATTCGCGCGGGCGGAACATGAGTAAATTCCAAAGTAGGCTTGGTTGTGGGTCATTTAAAAAATTGCGTGGGATTAGAGCATATACTAGTTAAGCATTGTTGGATAAGTTTCCATAAGGTATTGCCAGTTAATTAAAACATTCCCTATATTTTAGCACAATGCTTTCGTTTACTGGTATCAGTTCCAAAGCTATTACCTCAAATTGAGTGAAATTATTTAAGAGGAAGAGAGCTCTGGACACGCAATGTTGTGTTCCCAAATAGTACTCAGCTCACTATCTCGCGGTAGGAGGAAAGCATATTCAGGCTGAACTAAATTTGTGAATATGTTTTCCTTGTAAAACCGTATTTAAAAAACGCTAAAATGATATTGTAGATGAAGTTCAGAAACTAATGAGCATTGCAAATATGCCAGTAATTGATAGTCAGTACTGAAATGCTGCAAATCAGAAATTGATAGTTTGTTTTGTTGGTGAGGCTAACAAAATTTTGAGTGCTGTTCTGATATTGCTTTTTAATTAACTTCTGAACAAACACCATTACAAACGTGAAAAAACCTACTAGGACTTCTGTTCCACCAGGGCACAGAACACAAATCAATCCAATTGTTTTACCATAGAGTTCAAGAATTGAACCAGAGAAACCTTGCTTTGCAGCTTCCAGTTGAGAAACGCTTAAATGTAGCTGATTTCGGAGAGGCTTGTCCACCACAGGTCAACGAATGAAACAGTAAAAGATGGTTCTTTTGAACTATGGTTGACATTTCAGACATGAGCGTTTAACAGGAAGAACGAACAAAAGCCTTTGTGGAGCTCAGTGATGGGCGTTTTGTGCGAATGAAAATTTGAAAAAGGGAATGAAATGTCAAGAGTTTGTCCTGGGTGACGTGAGATAAAGGATGGTCTGGAGTTTTGTCTTCTTTCACAACTGATACTCTATTGTTGTGACAATTTTACTCAGTGTAGAACAAAACGATGACAAAAAGCACAGAGACATTTATCTGTAACAAACCGTCTCGTTTCTATTCATGACCAGACGCAGATGTCGGTTGCCATGGAAGAACAACCTGCACTATGTCATGTGTATTATGATTTCACTACAATTCAGTTGATATCCAAGGCAGGTAATCTCGTTATATTACATACTTTTGCATCACGCTAAGGGTTTCTATGTTTTAGTGGTTAACACAACCATAGGTCAGAATATATATTTCTGTTTTAGCTGTGCCGAAAAATAAGTTTGAATGAATGAACCTATAGCCTCATGGTCGTGTAAATCTAAAACGGATCGCGCATATCGACGGCGTGTAAGATCCTGGTAATTTGTTTTCAAAGAATGAGCACCGAAATTCGACGTGATTGAACTGGTGTCTTTGACAAACTAATAACTCTTCTGTTTATGCTAAGAGGTGACCTGATTGATAACTATCATACATTTATGGCAATCTACCAAATGCGTTTCTGTTTAACCGACCATGTCAAGCCATCGACCGGTAGGAAAGGCACATGCACGAAAGGTAACACATAAAATAGATTATGCAGGAGCTGTTCCCTATGCTGTCTATGCATGTCTATGTATGTGATCCCCTCGGAGGCCGGGAGTTTTAATACAACGATAACGGACAACGGAACTGAATGCACACAAAAGTTTAAATCACTGGACTGTTTTTGTTACCTGAAAAAGTCAAAGTCATGGAGTACAACTATTGAAGTTTAGTGCCAAAAGTTCTGCAGGTAAATAGCAATTTGCATTATTCGAAGCAGAAAAATATGTTGAAATATTTTACCACATAATGAACAATCCGAAGCGTGTGTTAAGATTAGACCAGATGTCTCTCAGCAATGCATCAAAAGGTAACACATATGTCCCCCGGGGGAATAATTTCGTGATGTTAGCACCGGGTAAATAAAGTGAAGTCGTTTATTTACTACAACTTTCGCTTCATTTTATACAAACCCATAAGATGCTAAACGAATCGATCAACCATTTAGTGTTTGGTGTACCACCCCGTGTTATTGTCGCTTTTAGGAATAACCGTTTATTATTTACAATACAGATATATATGCCCATTTAAATAGGTTGCATATTAGCCTGAGCCATTAGGTTTAAGTCAGCCCAATGATAGAAATGTTAGCACAACAAAAAGAACTTGAAAAACAACACATAATATACCCATCACGTGTTCTTGAAAGACAACTGTCGGCATGCAACAGGGTTCAACATTATGACATTGGAAAACAATACCCTGTGTGACAAGCAGCCTGTCAGTTTGCAAGAAATAGAGAGGTCTCTTTTTGATGGGGCTTAGAGATGAGCTAGATGGTATCACGGAATAGCATGGCCCACAGCAGCTTTCCCGTTTTGGATGCGTCTTTTGGAACCATTTATTCTGATTCAGTTACAATCTCTGTGAGCTACTGTATTGCAAGTGTTTATGCAAAACGTGATTTATGAAAAGTCAAGCTACACAGTCACTGAACACAGTGACGTATGTGAACACAGAACCCGTAACACAATTAATTCCTGCTCAATTTTTAAGGATGTTGATTTGCTCACATGCAAAATACATTATTAAATAGTCGGATAATACACTGGACCAATTTTCAGGTAATGGATCCATCGATTTCAAGGAGTTTGTCCGAATGATGACCGAATACTACTCTCAACTGATCAAAACAACCGATATTTATCAGCGTGTTTTTGCGGTAAGTCTGTTTGTGTGTGTGTACTTTGCATGAAACGTTATTCGATTACCATGCCGTGTGAATGATTGATGCATTCTGCAGAAAACAAAACGGGTAGACCCAATAAATCATTGTCTTTTTCAAACGTCTTGTGATATGCTTTACTTTTCTTTCAAAAATATCAAACAATGGAAAACCAAAATGTAGAACAGAAATATGGTTTACTTGATTGGAATTCATATCAAATTGTCTCTTGAAATTACTCCGTTCGACGAGTTGCGATTGAAGCGGTAACTAGGGGGCGTGGCCGTGTAGTTTATTCACCCAATAAGAGTTACCCCTCAGCCTTATACTTTCCACTTTGCTGACACCCAATTTCATCTAATGCATTTGAGTAAATCTATTCAATTAGTATTTCATTGATTCACATTTTTAGAGGGATCGAATACAACAGTATCTGGGATATCCGAAATCGGTTTTGGTTCGATTTCCAAAGAAAAATTGTTTAGAACAAAAAATAACAAAATGTAAATCTGAGTCAACCCAGGTTATGGGAAAGAATAAAACGGATGAGGTAGCCGGCAAAACTTTGTTTCGAATTTATTATTATTGATTTGAATCATGCAATACGTTACCCGGTTGAACAGAATGGCTATGATTCAGTTTGGATTTGTTTAACTTAACTAATTTTATCATTATAGTGATGCTTCACATTTGCGTAATAGATGCATTGTACGCAGCAACCAAAATGACATTCTGGTGACATTCTGGCGCGGTTACTGAATTCATTACCATTAGAGTTTTGTTGCACATAGATATACACAAAACGTTCTATCAGGGTATATGTCTTTAAAGGAAATTCCAGATATCTTTCTATAGAATACAATCAGCTGTCTGGGCTAAAACGGCATTGTTATAGACACATTTTTCAATCCGGTACTATTAGTTGACGTGCCGGAGGTTATAGTCATTAAAGAGAGAAAACCATTCGGTAAATATGAACATGCCCTATGTATTTTTGTACGAGAAGCTTCATAGATCTCGTAAATGATCTTTGTATAGCAACTGTGTCATAATAATTAGTTGAGATAAGAGATATGTAGTGGATTCCTCTGCGTAGAGAGCAGTCAAAAAATATCTGAAAAGCTAGCAAGCATTGGACAGCTGCTTCGATCGAAGTGGATTTCAATATTAGTGGGCAAATTGATAGAGTCAACTGGGACTTAACTAGAGACCTGATAGTTAGAACGGAAGTTCTAACAGAGTTTTACTCCGGCACCAATTCGAGTATTTTTTTACCAATTGTATCACTACGTGAATGACACCAAGTTGCCGCACACTAGCTTCTAATTTCATCAAGTCTGTTCCATAACTGTTAGTGCTATTTAAAGGAGTGATGATCACCATTACCTGAAATTTGTTTCTTTGGATTACCCCACCCCAACCCCACCTCTGTCGGGGTCAGGAATTCGACAACAACGGAGACGGTTATATTGATCCGGACGAGCTTAAACGAATCATGTCTAGCATGGGCGAGTCGTTGACCGAATCCGATCTGGACGAGATGATCAAAGAGGCTGATCAGGACGGGGATGGCAAAGTCAGCTTTCAAGGTACAACCCACAGTGAGCTCTCTCTCTCTGCATTTTTTCCTCTGGTACTCCCAAAAACAAAAGGGGTTTCGTATATCATATACAGAGCACAACCTTTCAATGGGGACTTTAAGCATTCATCTTACTGCTTCGGTTAAATAACGGTCATTACACGCACGCATTGTTGTGGGATTTAATTCCAACACGCTATTCTTTTATCTTTAACTATCGAGGCTTCCAGATACATCCAGGTAACTAAGCCCCAAGAGATCATGAACAACGTTGAAGTTCATTAAAGACCGTATAAAATAACCATTTAGTTTTGACCAAGATAGCAGCAACGGGGGGATACTGTGGTGATCCAGGCCCACGTGACGACGCCTACCCTGAAGCGGCGCGTTACAGTTTCTGGCTATTTGCGAACAATCAAATTCGAAAGATGAAATCAATGACATGCGCAACGCTTCTGACTACACGTCAGGTGGATCGCGTCAGCGAATCCGATATAGTGCAGACAGAGGCAGAATCATATAAGCAATCCTGCAATCCGATCGGTGGAAGCCTGGATAACCAATAATCTTCTTTTGTACATAATATTCAATCGTCTTCATTTCTTCCAATAAACTAACTACATACTACTATTCCTGTGGCCTTTTCCTCGCGTCTCGTTCACCTGGGATATTGCGACCTTGTGCCATTGCTGTCCAGTGCTTCCGTAAGCCAATCCGTGACAACTGATACTAGATTCGTATCCGGTGATTTCTATTGCGTGGTTTGCATTCCGAGTTCCTTGCTTACTAATACTACTATTACAATAACGACAGATACTCAGGGGTACCCCATCCTTAGTTTAATCAGAAGCCTCCCACAAATTGGAGTTTTGTAGTATCTCAACAATAACCGGCTAGACTGAATCACGTGAGAATTTGCTACTATCGCAATAACCACATTTTGACAGTGCAATTTAGTCACCAAATCGACAAAATCATCTCATACGCGCAGCAAACAAGTAGAATTCATTTAGCACCGATTGTAGGAAGTGGGAAGTTAAGTTACAAATTTCCATAATGATCCTCAACCCCGTTTTTCCGTGAAGAAGACACACACATACAACAGTGTGCAATTCTGATGACGAGTTCCAGATAGTACACGCGTACGGTCCCCAGAAACTGTATACTTGTTGTTTAAATCGTATGTGAACAGGTCAATCCGAAGTGTATTTCCTGCAAAATACAAAAGGGAAACAAACAAGTCTGTGTGACCCGGAGTACATCATAACTGACAGTCGTCCCCTTGATTTATTCATTCATTCCCCCGTGGCATTTCCGGGAAACAACTTAGGGTTTTTTGCTTGTTGGTTTACTTCTTGCTATTGGCTTGATATTTTGCAAATATTTTCCAAATGAACCAAGCGGGAGGGGGTGGGTGGACATTAACTGCCCAATCAATACATCTTCCATTTTATTTTTAGTCCGTTCATATGAATATCTAGTTCAATGCACACGTCCTGGTTACACCAATAGCATTCGTTTGCAAATACTTTTCGTCAACAAAGAACTTTCACAAAACTATTCCCGGATAGCGTGGAATCCTATACGGGTAGCAATCAAGAGTGCAGATAAAAATAACTTGAATAAACTATTGCTTTCGTGATGATAACATTAATTGAATTTACTCAAGGTACTTCGCTACCAGCAAATTTCGTATTGGACCCTCTGAAAGTACACGTATTGACCAAACTCGTGCAACTTGTATACTTCTTAGAGTTGATTTTCAGTTGTTTCAGTATTAGGAATGATGTGCGAGTAGTTGGTAGCCAAATAATTTACCAATTTAATTAAACTAGAATATGTTCCTCAATTGGCTTATTTACCGCGCATTGGATGAAAAGAAATAAGCAGTTTGAAATACGTGATCACTCTAATGAAACAGGATTCATTCATTAGAAAGAATGAATTTCGAATAATGCTTTCCATAAAATATTTTCCAGATCTGAGCTGCAACTTTCGAACTACTACAAATTTTATCTTGTCACTCAAGGTTGCGTGCGAATTCAAACGGTGATGCAAGAGAGAACCAAGAACATGGGTGTTGCAGATAATGGTCAAGAATAAATACACTTTGGCCAGAGCCATCAATATATGAGTATGATATTGCCAACTAAAATGACTTCCAAAGTGAGAGCGATTTTGCACTAGTTTGTTCAACATCTCTTTTTTTGCGAAGGAAGCATGTTTAGACAAACTATTCCTATTGCAACAGATTTTTATGTTTCGGATTTCGCGGTTTTGAGATTTTCTAGACCTGTTTATTAATCTTACGAATAACCGAGGTCACAAAGCGTTCACTTTTACATTTTCTTCCCATAGGATCGGTGTTGGTTAGGTCTACGAAATCTCATAATTGTTTACTGTTTTCCTCTTTTCCAGAATTCATTGAAGTTCTCAAATAATGAACAGCCTCTACTCACGCAAGTGGGATGACGCGATGCGAGCGGGGTCAACGAGCAGAGGTGAGTATGAATTCGGTCTCCACTCGCACTCCTGTATCTCCGATGAACCGTGGCTTTAATACTGATTTTCAGTGAACAATAACAAACAGCGCAATCTTATTTCCTCTCTCTAAATGATCCATCTATCTTGTTCTAGGATTCGGTAAAGGAATAGCCGGAACTAGTCCGGACTGAGTATTTTGTTTTGTTTATAGTTACCGGTGAGATGGAATGTTTGCCCGGGGAGAAGAGTGACAGGTGTGCAATGTATTTGTAACAAACACAGCCCAGTTCAATAAATTGAGCCCGTATTGATCGGTTAATTAAACCGGACAATGTAGCAGATGCTTTATTCGTTCTCTTCAAATATACTTCAAAAATGCTTTGAGAGAAAGTAGACAAAACATTCTTGTGTAGAATTGTGAAGCGTATGGAGCCAAGATTACTGGTGACGGGTCGGACATAAGTAATTCACCTGCAGTTGATTAACTAACTGTGACGACTGGAATTCTTTCCTGAACCACCTGCGCATATCTGTGGCATCACATTGAGCCCATTCACTGTGTCTCCTTTCTGTTTTCGCAGACGCAATACGGCTCTCAATCAATGTGTGACGAACGAATAACGAAGTCGGGATTAGTGTTTGGACGAGAGAAGCACAACTCATCGAACCGCGACCAAGTCACGAATCACGTCAGGTTTTGCATTGATTTCAAAACCTTCTTGTCATAATCAGATTATTGAACTAAATGATAACACACTGAGTTCATTTGTTGGCTGTTTTTTTGTTCGTATTCCAATATATCTATTGAGCGTGAGGAGTAAAATTTCAAAGGCGAAGTCAAGGTTTTTGTAATGTTTTTAGTAGTTGTTGTAGTATGAGTAGTACGCACTGAACTCGGGATACAAACCGCGCAATGCAAATCATGGAATACGGATCGCTGAGTAGCAGTCACGGATGTCACGCACGGGCACTAGCGCGCAATGTACCATGTAACTGAGACGCGAGGAAAAGGCCACAGTAGTAGTAGTTCGTTTATTGGAAGAAATAAAGGAATTAAGTAATATGTACAAGTAGTCTCATTGGTTACCCAGGCTTCTACTAATGGCAATTCAATGTTCCTGGCATCGTTCTGCTTTTGTCTTGGCCGCGCGGTCTCTGATTGGCTGGTATGATCTACTTATGGTTTTGTAGTCAGAAGCATTGAAACGTACGCGCGATGATGAGGTCACACGTGAAGTCTGATTGTTCGCAGTTGTCCAAAAACTGTAATGCTTCGCTCCCGGACGTGTCATCCCATAGGCTCGAATCACCACAACTCTCCACCCTCAAACGGGCTTCTTTGAGTTGAACTTCTCCTGGGATTGAGTTTCTTAGTGCAAGAGTAGTAATTTCTTCGTTAAGCACTTGCCACATATATAGCGGTTAAATTAACCAACGTATCCCGCTTCCCTCGGAGGGTGGAAATGTGTCCAAATCCCGCTGCCGTCGACCAAAGTATTTATTACTTTTTACTTATTACTTATTTCCGTCAGCTCTTTGATTCCATATACTTGACAGTTGTATAGATCATTCCATTTATTCAATAAAATGAATTGAAAAATGAAGAGAGATCAATAGAAAATAAAATAAATCATAAATAAAATCCTACTTCTGAAAGAAAAACTGGTAAGGCTCAGTTTACCCTATCTGTACCTCATCACTCCACAATGCTTTTGCACACATCTCACAGAAATCATAGTGGCGTGGAAATTAAAATGATCAGCCGAGAACAAACTGATTCCCAACTCTGTAGATAGGAGAGAGTAGAACGGGAATTGTGTTTTTGATTAAACGGCAAACAGAGCGTGAACTGGAAGACTATTTTGACCCTATGGGGTCTGATCAATAGTACGAATCCGCCGACCCAAATCGGCCCGGGACCCGGGACAGATACAACGCAATTGGCTACCTCGGAGTGGGGGGGGGAGGTAGACCGGTTTTCATTTTGTCTATAACCAATATATTACTTATTATCTTCGCACGCTTGTTCAGATTACCGGTCTTTGGCAGTATGAATCAGTAGAACACATTCAGACCTGGTTGAATATTAGCGCAGAGCAGTTGTTGATTAGATTGGAGTGGATTGTTGATTGACTGTTTTATCGTGAGAAGCAGTGCATGACAATTTGATCTGATTGGTTTCCACTACGAAAAATTAATTCTGAGATATATTTTAAAAGGTTTTGCCATTGGAATAATGATTATAAAAATATCCCATCTAAATTTTTACAATGTCGGATGAGTTCATACAAACATCCTAGATGAAAAAAACATGCGTTGTTGAAATGTATTTAGCGTTTTTCACCGTTCACTCAAAGTTATCTTTGACGTAGTCATCTTCCGTTGTGTGGTGTGAGGTCGCCCTATTCCCGTTCGAAAACTCTTCTCACCTGAAAAAACATAAATGGAGAGTAATTTAAAGCCATACATTCACCATTTTTGGGATATTTTGATTCGAACAATAATTAATTTGGTTTGGAGGGAAAACACATTCCTGATTGCAAACGTTGTGAACGTTTCCAACCGAGTCATAACCTCTGGGATGCTAGTTCTTAGCTGAGCGAGACGCAATGCCTGCAACAAGCGCGCAGACATGGGTTGTGCTATATCGGGTAGATGGAAAATGAAAAACGGTCTGATCAGCTGCCCGAGTAATCAGCATGCTTACGCTCTGCCTGACCCCAGGCTCGGCGTCCACAGTTGGGTCAATTGATTACCACTGCTGATCAAACTCATTCAGGTCGAAACAGCTGTCCAGTGCTTCCCAGCTTTTCAGTTCACGCTTCATTTGCTCGATTCAAGACGGATCGAAATAAGGAAGGACACTTAGATGCTGAATAAGTAATAAACTCAGTTCAGAACAACAAGGGTTTCCTTTAATTGCACTGAATAAAAACCCCGTCAAAAACAAACAAGAAGGAACCATCAGAGAAGTTGATTAATGATATACAGGGGTTTCGCTGTGATCCTATTAGACTCACTTCCTGTGAAAGTCATAGATACCTCGATTGTTGGACGGGAGAAATTTGAAAGTGGTATATACAACGCTGGAGGATGAGTCCTCCTTCTACAAANTACCACCTGGAGGTCCAGTGTTCGGAACCCATCACCATCGTTCATCTCCCAGTCATCTGTGTTTCCCCAAGCAGTCTTTGTTTACATCACAGCCCCATTCCTGAAAGTTTCTTTCACTTCTGCATGATAAATATACAAAAAAGAAAGTGAAATATTTGAAATATTTGTCAGTATACCGTCGACTGGCATAAAAAGTGACGCCAATTATTAGACTTTCCAAAGTGTGTAATAAAAAGATGCTTATATATTAATCACTTTAATCTGATATATGTTCGACAATTAGAATTTCTGTTAATATGCACCTCTTAACCACATGTCTATGAAGCTGATCTTACCAAGGAATTCCAACTGGTCAAACGAACCCTTCTAATTTTGCACCAATAAGCATTATGGACAATATTTGATGTAATGTAATGCGAAGGTACTCCGGGCTCTCCCAGCGTAGCAAAGTGGACAGAGATGCGCGACAAGACGCTGAATATTGATTGAGGGAAATACGTTTGCCTTGCAAAACAAGCCACTCTATGCGGCATTCACATCACATCAGTTGGCTCCGGAATGGAAGGTGAAATTTTCAGTGGACTTAATCATGTCACTATATTCTCAGGCCGTGAACATAACTGGTATGGAAACGATGAATTAGTATTTTTGTGGTTTGATAGATTTTATTGCTAAACATATGTGAAATAGTTATTCATTCTCAAAGCTGGACTGCTCGTTTCGCCGAGATGTTCATCCATTTGGAAAACGGTAGTCTGTTAAAACCATGTAATCCGATTTAGCTATTGATTTTTTTTTCGATAGCCGATCATTCTTTCTCATTAATTAATTGGGTTTCTATCGAACGTTTTGGTAGTCACGAAACCGGGAGTTTCAAGTGAATTTGTTTGTTACTCTATTGAGTTTATGGTTTCAATTATTCTTTGATTTGTTTGATCGCAGAAATACCTGAGCAATGGAAGTTTCTAGAACAAATGCGATGCCGCTCGTTGAGCTTAGCACGGTTATATCGATGCCAGTACAAATACGAGCACGAACGAGGCTAAATGTATAGGCGCTAAAACAAGTGCATTCGTGTATATTACCCCGGCATGTGTTTTATGGGAAGTAATAGTGACAGATACTTTCTCAAACGTAACACCCTAATATTGCATTTTAAGACTTTGCAGTTTCGCGGACACTTTTGATCCAAGTACTCCTTCTCCTACCGGGTTATCTATTACCGGGGTGAACTGTTGCTTGAAACTTAGTTCATACTTTTTTGCGGAGATTGAAAATTACTTGGTAACTGTTTCATCCAGAGAGAGCGGACATTTGAGTTCAAGTAACAGGTGTGGAGGAACGTGGCAATCCCCGATTTTTTTCGTTGTTTGTGTGAGCTTGGGTGGGAAGGAGTAGTCTAAGAGTTTGTGTAGCAATCCGATTGGTGTTGAATACAGGAACAGAGAACGCATTTTATAATAGTAAGAACTGGATTGGCTCCAACTGCAACCGCGAAACCAATGTAATAATACACGGAGAATCGGTAGCAGCAAGTACCAATCTCTATTCATAGACACAGAGCATGTTTTATATAAAGAATAGGCCATATCATTGGTTCAAGGATTATCGTCCAATCAGTTAACCGCTTGTGCATATGCATCGTATGTGCTAACTCTGATGTTATGTGCACCCGGTGTACAATTGGTCCAGCTTACTGAACTCTGATTGAATGACATGAGGCTATATCTGGCGTACTTGGAATTCGGTCACGCATGTCTGGATCACCACAGTTAGGCATTGCTCAGTCAGTCACTTGTTACATGCATCGTTCCAGGGTGTATGGCAGAACTTGCCTTGATTACGCTGATTGCTTTCTTCGAGGCATAAAAGCGGTCAATACCGACTTGGTACGATGCGTGTTAAGCGCGTTTGACCACTGTGAATTTATTCAAAATCACAACTGCGTCCCTGAATCTTCGGGGAATCGAGAGTAGCTTGTGTTTTCCGGTTCCCAGGTTTTGCTCATCCCCGCCAATGCCTACCATTCACATCTTTCACGGATATAGTTCTCCTATTAGACTTTACATTCCGATCG